AAGTATAAAATCATGTTCTGGTGGCTATCTATGGCCAATAAGGACATGGTCGACGAAGACCCAACCGACGAGTTCACCCGGTTCTCGTGACTTCTAGATCATATTATGAGTAGACTTCTTTCTGGCCGATGGAGGTCATCCGGCCGATGGGGGTCCCACTAGATGATCGTGATACCTTCTGTTCTTCTGAGTATGTGGGTCCTGGGGCCTAGTCCCATATACTCCATCAGGCATGTTAAAGGATGAAATATTAGAGGTAATGATGAATAGTGTAGGAAAAGTATGAAAGAAAGTGAAAAAAAATGAATGAAAGAAAAGAAAAAATAGCAAAAGTAAGGATAGTTAAGTACTTTTAAACGAAAAACTTGACAAAAATAAGAACCGTGACAAACTTTTAAAAACTTCCCAAATAAAAAACAAAAAGTAGAAAATGTAAGAATAATTAAGTACTACCTCCGTCCCGGTGGACTTTGCCAAGTGCAAAGTATGTGAGAAATAAGAATAGTAAAAATTGTGTGGTTGAGATTTGTGCAGAGGAGAGAGAAATGTGCAGAACCACAAATTAGTTATTTTAATAGTAAAGTGGTAACGTTTTTTGGGACAATCAGAAAAGAAAAATTGGCAAAATTTTCCCATTACAAATTTGTTTATACCTCAGGAGTAGAGAAAGCTCATAAAGTTTTCTTTGACAAGTTGACAATCAGAGGGAGTATTTATTTATTTGAAAAGTACAAAAGAAACTAGGTAAAACCTCAGGAGTAGAGAAAGCTCATAAAGTTTTCCATTAATTTTTCACGTGTCAATTTACAACGACAAGACAAGACGTGACCAAACTATGTCCTTTTGCTTTTTTTGCAAGTAAATTTGATTACTTATTTATATATTCTCTCTATCCCAAATTGAATTGCAAACTTTGACCGATATGAGAATTAAGAAATGACAATAAATGATTTTTTCTTTTTACACTTTTGCTTATCTTTCTAAAAGTAGATGCCTTTAAGTTAATGGGAAAAAGTAAAAGTATGGGTAAATTTGTCACTTTATTCTTATTTACGTACCTAAAATAGAAAGTGGAAAACCATTTTTAGGACAACTAAAAAAGGAATTTTTGCAAATCAAATTGGGACGGAGGAAGTATATTTTTTATCGTGATTACTTATTTAAATATGGCAATAAAAATATACGGAGTAATTATTACTCCCATTCCAAACCTTCATACTCCCATTTTTTTTATTGTTAAAAATTGTAATAACTTTTTTTATTTGATATCCGATTTTTATAAATTTTATATCAATTTTTATTTTTATTTTTCATGATCTATCAAATGAGACCAATATTGCTTATGTAATTTTAACAAATTATTTTGAAGTTACATTTGATAATATATCATGAAGTTACATCTTCTTCTGCGCGAGTTACATCTTATTGTACGCGAATTACATCTTAATATACACGAGTTACATCTTAATGTATGTGAGTTACACCATGAAATAAACCCCTGCTACATCTTTCATTTTTATCATTTGAAAAATAGTGTATGAATATGAAATACAATATACTTGTTTTATGTGGATTAATAAAATTTTGTATTAAATTGACAAAGAAAAAAATTAATTCAGTTATAATTGAATTAGTTCAAGATAAAGATAAGTAAAAAATCACAAATAATTAGATATAACTCACCCATAATTACATGTAACTCGCGCATAAATGTATGTAACTCGTGTATAACAAGATGTAACTCACACATAATTACACGTAACTCTCGCATAAAAGTATGTAACTCTGTGTATAGTAAGATGTAACTCACACATAAGAAGATGTAACTCACACATAATAACTTGTAACTGGAGTATAAGATGATGTAACTTCGTATATTATCAAATGTAACTCCAAGCTAGAAGCAAAATAACAAACTCAATATCTTAAAAACCTCTAAAATCATATAAAAGTGAAAAAAAATATTATAGAAAAAGTGTATGCATATAAAAATATATTACAAAAAATGTATGAATGTAAAAAATTAAAATTACATAGGCAATATTGGTCTCATTTGAAAGATCATGAAAAATAAAAAATTTTGATATAATTTTTATAAAAATCAAATCAAAAATAAAAAAATTATTAACAATTTTAAGAAAAGGAGAAATAGAAAATAACAAAGGGTGCATGGTGCTCACCATGCACCGATCCCACGGTATAAGCACTGGAGTGAAAGGATACATACAATTTCGTACTCCCCGTAACTTAAAAACCTTTCCATTCCAAACGTAGATAGATTAAGAATAGTGAAAAAAGATATGAATTATTGAGGGTATGATGAGAAGATAATGGAATAATGTGATGAAATGAAGGATAGATTAAAAAAAAAGTTGTAACAGTGTATTACTCCCTCCGTCCCTATATAAAAGTATCTATTCATTTTACACACATCTTAAGAAAGTGGGTTTGGTTGGTACTGTTTGGCACTGTTTGGACACTGTTTGACACTGTTTGACACTGTTTTGCACTGTTTTGCACTGTTTTGTTTGCCAAAAAAGGAAAGAGAACTTATATTTAGGGACGACCCGAAAAGGAAACAAATGTTTTTATTTAGGGACGGAGGGAGTATTTTAAAAATTATTGAGGGTGTGATGAGAATTTTGAAATAAGAACATTTTTTTGGTTAGAAGAATTTTTGTTAGGTGAGAAGACTTTTTTGTTAGGAAAGGAGTAAGCATTTGATGAACCTAATAATTAGATGGTGGTTGTCATATACTACGAGTAATAAAAAGCAAATATGTGCACCCAGCTCAGACGATTCTTGCCCCCAAAAATTCTTTCTTAGTTTTTCTTATAGTAGAAATTGTATCTTAGGGAATAGGAGGTGTTTGGATCTGATTCTTAAAATTGCTTCCGCTCCTTCAGGGAGTAGAAACAGAAGTTGGAGTGTTTAGGTGAAAGTGCACAAGTGATTCTGGTGCTCTAATTTACTCCTAGAATCGGTTTTTTTAGAAGTTGGGGGTGACCAGCTTCCGAAAACTCATTCTGATTTTGCTTCTGCTTTAAAAAAGAAGCAAAAGCAGAATCTGTTCCAAACATCCCCTTAGTTAAAGCTACCAAGTATTTAGATTTAAGTTTCCATTCACTTATTCAACTTAAATCTCTTAATCTCTTATTATATCTATCTATCAATTTTTTACTAAATTTAATTTTTCTTGATCAAGTTCGTAAAATTTTTAATGTAGTTTCTGAGTATGTAAATTTTATATATTAAAAATAATTTGAGTGTAACTAGAGATCGAGTTGCTTTATCGTCAGTCAAACATCGTAAACCGTAACGTGAACTTCTTTATGAGATGGAGAGAGAGCAATAGTTATAAATTACATCCCGTGCAACCCACGGGTGATATATCAGTAAGTCGTGGAATCGTGGTTATGTAAACATAATGCTACTTAGATGTGTGCACTGGTTCCAAATTAGACCTGGACCTAACTAGAACCGGAATCGGATTTACAAAAAATAGAAACCGAAAATCTGATCCGATATAATTTAAATAACAAAATGGAGTATTTATTATAAACAATATATTACTATTATTATTTACTTATTTATTTTTATTTGTTTTAGAGAACTTTTGATTAGAGGAATTTAAACGATGTAGTAGTTAATTCTATTAGCAAGAAAATAAGAATAAATTAATTAAAAGTATTAGGACAACGTATTAAGATCATTATTATTCAAATTGTTATTATTATTCAATACCTATTTTATATTATTACTATTAATTAATATATTTAAAAATATAGCAACACCGGTTTAATCAGGTTCAAACCGAAAAAATCTGTTTTTTAATCGGAACCAAACCGGAAGCCGGAATTGTAAAAATATAGCAACATCGGAGTATTTCATAATCGAAAACTGGACCGGATATCATTTTGGTTCGGTCCGATTCCAGTTTTTTTGATCCGGTTTTACGGTTGAACCAAATTGTGCATTCATTTTCAGCTTACCAGTTAACTTTTTAATCAAATATGTAACTTTAATATTGTGTGATAATTGTATAATAATCAAAATAAGTAAGGTCGTAGTTACTTTTTCAACTGAATTAACTTAAGTTATGAATACAATATATGTTACATGTTTCTTTTCTATAATTCATAGATTCTCCGGATTGAACGTAAATTCTATCAACATCAAGAGATTAAGTAGATCGAATCAATTTCAATTTTACTAAATACTCTCTTTATATGGGCCAGACTAAATTGAAGAATGATTTTGGAGGGGATATCTTTCTATTATACAAAGCCAGGAGAAATTTTGCACAGTGTTTTCACTCAAAAACATCCCATCAATGGGTTCGGGTCAGGTCTTCAACGGGCCAGGTCAAATGGTCCATGGGTCGCGAAATGGGGCTGTAGGCTGCCCAATCAGAGTTTTTCATGCTGACTCTTTATCCAATGCGCCCAATTTTCCTGTTTACAACTTTTATTAATTAAAAAGTAGAGTGATTTGTACTTTAAGCAGGTTTGAGCCACCAAAAATTAAATGTATTGTACTAACATGATCCAGAATTTCGAACCTCTCCCAAGCATTTAATGAATTGTACCATTAATTGTACTAGGAGATCAAAATAAAATCATTCAGAATTACAATTTAGCCTTGAACAATCCTTGAGCCCCAAAAACAATAAATGATGTGTACTTAGATACTCCAGAATTTCGAAACCCTCCCAAGCATTTAATGTATTGTATAGAAAGATTGTACTATGAGATCACAAATAAAATCTTTGAAAGTTATTATTGAGCCTTAAGCCACACAACAATTAATGCACTGTACTATCTTTAAGATAGAGTGGGTATTTATCCTTTGGTTAATACCTAATTGCCTCAAAATATTATCCCACCAGCCTTGAACAATCCAGTATAAATACCGCAGTTGAGGGTTTTCTAGACACATCACAACAAGCAATTCCAGATTTGCATTTTAAGCTACAAATGGCAGGTTCATCATCAAGAGGGATGTGGTCCATGATCAAGGACATTGATCACACGAAGTCAACCTGGGCATTGAAGGTTCGGATCGTTAGGGCTTATGAGGTGCCTCGTCACTCAAAGGAAGGGGAAACCCTTGAGATGGTGTTGCATGATGCCGAGGTATAATTTATACCTCTAAAAATAATTTGTTTCATTGATGGTTATAAAATATTCGTTGTTAACATTTGAATGTGTAAAATAGGGTGATCAGATTCATGCAATCATCAAGAGACCACAAATAGCTATGTACAAGACTATGATAAAGGAGCACCAAATCTATGCTATAAGAAACTTCTTAGTTCTAGACAATTACCAGACGGTAAAAACCACAAACCATCCCTACTTGATCCAATTCGTCTCTAAAACTCAATTCAGGGAAGACACGAAGACTGATCTGCCTATGTTGGTGTACGATTTCCAACCCTTTGATATGTTGCACGCCCAAAGGGTTATCAACGACAAAACTCTCATTGGTAAGTAAAATCAGTTTTCATTTTTTATCAACCTAACTAAATAGTGTTTGTCCCTGTTTATATGATTACAGCAATAATGATACTCAAAGATAAGAATAGCAGAAAGATATACGCAGAAGATCCTTAAACTCGTCTTTGATATACCGTGAACTTCTACATTAAGAATGATAAGCTCTGAGGCTGTAAAGATCGAATGCAAAAGTTGACGCAAACCTAAACCTTATGCGCCTTTATATATGCGCAGGTTAAGGTTTGCGTAAAGGCTTTCAAGCCTGATATATGGGTCTGACACTTTGGCCCCATACCCTTTACTACTCTAATAAATACAACAATAAATACATAAAGGAGCAATAAAGGTTATACTAATACAAGACTCTTGACAAACTTGATACACAATAAATTATTCTTCAACAATCTCCCCCTTTGTGATCAAGTGCCGTCTTGCTTTTATTTCTGAGCTTTGAAGTAGTGTTTTCTTATGTTCAGTGCATGCTCATACTGTCTCAGTGCTCTTCTCTTATCAAGATGTTTGATGATGGGCTGCAGGATTGTTTCCAGTCTGTCAAAAAGTTTCCAACTCTTCATCAGTAGCATGAGCAAGTCTTTGCTCAAGATCTTCTTTGAGAGGTAGCAGGTTCTGTTGAATGACTTTTAAAGTCCCATCACAGAATTTGTGAATGTCCTCTACCCACATCAGGCGCTTTTGCTCTTTATGTTTGAGATATAAGATTGAGAGAGGATCCTTAAAGATGTGGTAAGGTTGAGATTCCTCAAGCTCTGCTCCATATAGAATCGGCCTTGTGAGATTTGCCTTTTAAACATGGTTCTCGAGCGCCATTTGCAGATCATGAGTGGAGTGGAATCTGACTTGTCTTAGCATAAATCTTTTGATTGCATCAAAGCCTTCTTTGTAGATTCTGTTGCGATTTATCGGAAGATATCTGCAGGCCATGAACATGTGATAGATGTCATCCATTTTCATCATGATGAAATCATTCTCTTGGCAGATGAATTTGCTTGAGTCTGTGCGCTGCACTTTGTAGCTGAAGAATTGTATCCCGTGGTGATCTTCTTCATGCATATCGAGGATACTGCAAATCGGATGTATGCTACTTTTTAAGTCCTTTTTAAGGATCTCTCTTTGTTTTCCAGAAGATCTATAGTGCAGCATATGCAGATGTCCACCCACAAATTTCTCTTTCAAGTGGGTAAGTCCGCGGATCTTTAGCTCATTAAGGGCCTTGAGTTTCCGTGGTTGTCTCCAGATTCCCTTTCTGATTTCCTCTTGGAAGGGGCATTGATTCATATGTTCTCCCATGGCTTCTCCTTTGTTGACATTTGACCCGCTGATTGTCTGATAATCGATTCAAGCTCCTTGGGAGTTTTCTTGTAATCTTCCCCTTCCTTGAGTTCCTCTTCATCAAGGCGTATGATATCTTCAGCACACTTGGCTAGTAGTTCATGAAGCCACCAGTTTCGTTGCATATCCTCTGTCTCGGCTTCGTCTCTCAGTGTATCCCACTCTGTCCATTTCCGTGGCCACTTGTCGTGTATCTCCGCATCCTCCAGCGCGTCATGGATGTCCTTGTTTAGAGGAATGAATGGAACTCTTTGCTGCGGTTGGAGCGGTGATCTTGCTTGAGAAGCACTACCGGGTTCCCTCGGATTGCCCGTTGTCATCAGCGTTGAACTAGGTTCTGGCTGATGGCTTGACCTAATGGATGTATCAGAGATAGCACCGTCACGATTTCCATCCCCTCCTCGGACAGTATCTCTTAGAGATAAGCCTCGGGATGTTGTCATCAGTTTTGAACTATGTTCTGACTGATGGCCTGAACTAAGTGATGTACCAGAGGTAACATTGTCAGGACTTCCATCCCCTCCTCGGACAGTATCTCTTGATGATAAGCCTCAGGATGTTCCAACTAGCTTGATCGTGCTAGTGAGCTTGGCTTGGTTCTGGCTAGAGGTGGGTGGTTGTTGATTGGTTGGAGGTGAAGGTTGAGTTGGCTGCGGGGCGTGGCTAGAAGAAGCACCTTGCTCAAGTGTCCAGGACTGCTTGCTCTCCCCCTCATGAGGTTCCGAATCGTCGGGGTCCTCATGCGAACATTTGTGGCCACGGGGATTGTCACGGCAAGTTCTTGGTTGTGGGCGGTTATGTTTGTAGAAGACCGCAATTAGATCCTTTTCAAAAGGGGTAAGGTTATGGGCATCAGTGGAGCAGAGGCGGAGGAAAAGGATATCAGCTAACTGTGGGGTAGGTATGGAATAGGGATTGGGATAGGGTGTGGTCGACGTAGGGGTAGACACTAGCTGTGTATCCTGGGTTCCTCGAGAAGGTGAAGATACTGGAAGTTGGTTGGTGGATTGGGTAGATAAGACTGGGGAAGGTAACGGTTGGGTATGAGAGATTAAGGGCTCGGTTGAGGGTTGGGGTGCGGGATGTTCAGGCTGAACTACTTGGGTGTTCCTAAATTCCTGTGCAAAAGCGGTCATTGCTCCTTGCACCCATGGCTTTATGGTGGAATCCAGGAAGCGATTCAGGAGAACGTTGATATCTTCAAAGGTGGGGTGACCAGTTACGGGGGTGGTAACTGTTGTCACAGCATCAGTGAAGACAACTGATGTGTGGCTTGCGTTTAATGGTGAAACCAATGTTTGCGTAACAGGACTTCCGACCGTCATTGTTTGCACTCGGGTCGTTGCATTCAGGGTGTGTGCACCTGTTTGTGCAGTGAAAAGTGTAGGTGTCCTAGAAAAATATGAAAAGTTTGGAAGTGTGACACCTAGACTCGATCTGTGCGAAAGAGGGGTTGTGGCCTCGGGTTGGTGGCCACTAGTTTTCTCAGTAGACTCAGAAGGAATCGGTGAAGGGGGTTGTTCCCGTGATTTTGAAACGTTAGCCTGTTGGGAGGCTAACGAGTGGCTGGGAGAGGGTGGTGCATGCACAGTTGAGCCTGATGCTGCGACTTCTACTCAGGAACCGAAAAGATCGGCTCATGTGCTTAGGGATTCGGCTCGGCTTATATTGATGAAGGGGTCGCAGTTAGCAAAGACGTCCAAATCTGCATCATCAAATAAGCTCTTTGTGGCTCGCTGCTTTTATGTGGACTTGGATGACTTAGGAATGTCATTTCTGACCTTTGCGCGTTTTTCGCGGATGACGACGTCGTCAGAATTTTTGATGATGTGCTCAGCCTCATTGTAGTTGGACTTGAATCTCCTGATTTCAGAATGTGTAGACTGGTTCTCCTTTATGAGGATAGTTGAGGATCGGTTAGCGAGAACAGGCTGAGCTTCTTCAGCGGTAATCTTTTTGGGAGACTGAGCCATCATCTTTCCTTTGCAGATCATGGCATATGTAGTCTCAACCCCGTCATCATCAGCATCATCATTGTCATTATCAGATCCGTCATCATCAGATCCTTCATCACTATGGGTGCCCACACTCTCGGATGCCTCATCGTCAGTCTTATTCTGGGCAGTACTGGACGATTCATCAGCGGAATCCTCAGCGTCCGTCGAGGTGCCCTCAGCTGTCCGACTCTTCTCGAGAGAGTCATCAGACTTTCCTTCATGGGGCCGACGGGCCACTGGTTTCTGTGGCTTTGGGGCGCTCTTTGAACCCTTACTGACACTCGGCTTGGTCCCCGGGGTAGGTCCAGTTGGGTTTCGCTGAACTATAGGGACCATTTTCTTGAGATCCTCTTTGCATCTAACAACTGCTGGATTCCTTGGATTGGCGAGATTTAGAAGATAGTTAGGAATAGCCATGCCAACAGTGTCGTGTTTGAAGCTTTTGAAATACTGAACCTTTGGGGCAACGAACTGCTCTTCATCTTGTCGCCGCGGGATCCCTTGATTTTCTGACATGTAGTCATTTATGATGAGAGCCAACCATCTAGCGTAAGGGATCGTCATTCCGGATTTATTTTTTTCTTTGGCCTTGACTTGGTCCATCAACTCCGTCCAGAAAAGTTGTGCCATGTCGTACTTTTTGTTGAAGGCTATCCCATGGAAGATTTGCAGAATTTGTTGGTTACATTTGTTGTGGTCGGCGTGCTTTGGAGACAGGCACTTGTTGACGAGGCCAAATAGGGTCTTCCATGGGTAAGGTAGGTTCATGAGCTTAAAATTTGACATCATCGGCAGAGGTGGATTATAGCCCAGACTCTCCATTCCTTTGATCAGTTCAGTCCGTGACGGGATCGGATCGTACATTGTGTGTACTGGCAGCTCCAGAGTGGTTCTCAGCGTAGATGGAGTTAGTACCAGCCTCCTGTTGTGCAACGTAGCAAGGATCTTTAATCTGTCTTTCTTGGAGGGCGTGTGCATGGTACTCCACAACTGTTGCAGGTAATCTTCTGGGATAGGTGTTGCTTTGGTGAGTGCCGGCCATATGTAGTGCCCTTGGAGAATGACAGGGATGACAGGGTCTGGGCATTTGAACAGTGCATGGTCAAGCTGATAGTTGTTGTCCTGTAGCCGGACCCAGTTTTCCTTGGGAAACAATTGACTGTGGGGGGCTTCGTTCTGCTCTGTCCCTGACATAATGAGCTAAAAAACAGTGGGGTCAGCACAAAGGTCCTCCTTGGTTTGTTTTTTTTTTGAAATATCTGATGTTTTTGGATTTTGAAATTTAAAGGAAAAAGAAGGAGGCAGGTGGACATCATCGAACTGTTAAGGCAAATACTCGAGGTCAGAACTCGTGGTTTAAAACTTGAGGTCAGAAATCGAGGTTTACAGCTCGAGTTCAGAAGTCGAGGTTTAAAACTCAAGGTCAGAACTCGGGGTTTAAAGCTCAAGGTCAGAACTCGAGGTTTAGAACTCGAGATCAGAACTCGAGGTTTAAAACTCGAGATCAGAACTCGAGGTTTAAAACTCTAGATCAGAACTCGAGGTGTAAAACTCGAGATCAGAACTCATGGGTTAAAGCTCGAGGTCAGAACTCGAGGCTTAAAACTCGAGATCAGAACTCGAGGTTTAAATCTCGAGTTCATAACTGCGAGTTTAAAACTCGAGTTCATAACTGAGAGTTTAAAACTCGAGTTCATGACTGCGAGTTTAAAACTCGAGATCATGACTGCGAGTTTAAAACTCGTGATCTAGGCTCGAATTTGAAACGACGGGCTCTGAAACAAGTTTTAAACCGTGAGAAGATGAATCTTGAGTTCACCTTAACGAACGACGAAGCTATCCACCTGCAAAAGCATCAAAACAACAACATAAACTGATTCAAAAAACCCTAAATTCCCCCTCTCGCGATATTTTGAGATTGTTCAGTCTTCGAGGATAGGGTTTTGAAAACACAAAGTTTGAAGCAATGAAGATCAGTTGAAGATGATCGAGGGCCTGTTCCTACCTACTGGTGATATTGCGAGAGAGAGGATTGAGTTGGGGAGAAGGATTTTGACAGAGAGAAGAAAAATGGGAATGTCGGGGCTCTGGTTTGCGAGAACTGTGCGCGAGGATTGGAAGATAGTGAAAAAGTCTAGGGAGCTGGCTATTTGTATGCGAGGAAAAAAGACCGGGCCGTAGAGAGTGTTTGGGCCCAGAC